CAGCTCAGAATATGGCAATGCAGGAACTCCTCTTGCAAGCCCAGGGTCATCAGGGCTATCAAATGTCCCAAGGATCTTATCCGGTGCGGGAAGCCCCTGTGTCTCACTCCCGAGGCCACATGAGCCGGCACACAGAACGTCCCCTCGAAAGGGAGATGAACGCTGAAGCTACATTTTATGTGCAAGGGAGTCAGCCATCAGAACCACGCTTGGGGGACAATTTCTCTCAGGAACATGAGGACCGAAGATCGTTAAGCGTCTTCGACCGGATAGGGGAAGGTCCTAGCAAGGGTCCGCCCAGCAAGAGGATCAGTTCGTCCAGATCACGAACAAGAACATGCTCCCTCTCCTCCTCCTAGAAATAGGATAGAGAGGAGGAATCTAGTCGATTGGGGAAGTCGAGGAGAAGCACCTCCGCCTCCCCAGGACATCCAGGATGAGAAGGGTCGGATGGGCCCTGTCGATCTTATGAGATTGACGATGATGATGATAACCTCCCTTTCTCAAAGGAGATCCAAAGCTTCCCAATGCCAGCGAATTTCATACCCCCTAAGATCCCCAAGTATGAAGGAAAGGGGGATCCGGAGAAGCACCTCACCAAGTACATGATGCAGATGAGCCTGAGGGGAGCCTCGCCTGCTTTAAAATGCAGAGCCTTCCATTTAATGCTAGGCAGGGTCGCCGAGATATGGTACAGCAAGCTTTCTCCCCTAAGCATCAGAAGTTGGCCAGATTTGAAGAAAACATTTTTGAACCAGTACCTCTCAGGCAGGAAAGGAGAGGCACCAATTCAACGCCTGCAAGACACGAGGCAGCCCCTGGGGAGACGCTGAAAAGCTATCTCGCCAGGTTTACAGACGAAATTACATACTACGAACAAGTCACTGACAGAGAAGCCCTTTTAGCCCTGAAGGGTGGGCTCAACATGAACACTTTGTTCTGGAGGGACGTGCGCAGCAAGAATCCCTCCACATATAACGAGCTGGTGGAAATGATGAGAGTGAAAATTGTTAGTGAAGAAATGATTGATCAACGCAACCGTGCCGCTCAGGGACTCCCTTATCCTCAAAGGTAGGTAGGTCGAGGACTCGCGGCACACCTTGTTACTCAGCAATGGACCCAAGTAGGACATACCATAGCTCCCACATCTGGACAGGCCCTAGCTCCCACTACATTGAATGTAGTACCGGTGCTGGCATATGATAATGCCCCTACCGAAACGGGACCATCTGGAAGAACTGATAACAAGAAGAAGAAGAAGAAAAAGAGGTCAAACAGACCCTTGGAAGGAGCAAGGTTTTGTACGTTCCATCAACTCTATGGACATGACACTAGTGAGTGTCGTGACGCCAATCGACGCCCTAATCGAAGCAACCCGCACACTTCCAGCAGGAACGAACACCCTCGCAGATCCACCTCCCCAAGGAGGGGAGGGAGAGGTCACAGGGAACAATTTCCTCGGAGAAGAGAATCAAGGGACCGAGGTCAATCCAGACAGGGAAACCAAGCCCAATTTTCTGGAAGCCAGGTCATCAGGGAAATCGATACTATCATTGGGAGACCCCACGTCAGTGGCAACACTAGGAATGCCCAGAGAAATTACACAAGAGAAACAAAGGATCCCTCAATGATCACTTATATTGTCAACGAATCGAAATCAGCAAATAGGATGGCCCCAATCACGTTCTCCCAGGAAGACTCAGAGGGAGTTCACCACCCCCATTGTGATGCATTGGTTGTAAGAGCCGTAGTAGCTAGAAACGGATTAAGATGCATGCTCATTGACAATGGCAGTTCCGTGAACATATTGTTCGGCTCCACTTTTGACAAAATGCAAATTGAACATGGGTTGATCCCCATGACTGACCCACTATTCGGATTCACTGGGGACATCATCATCCTACGAGAGCGGATCACCCTGCCTGTCGAAATGGGTTCGGCACCCCTAGTGGCCCAGCACTTCATGAAATTTCTGGTGGTAGATCACAGATCGACTTATTATGGAGTATTGGGCAGACCTGCTCTGAAAGATCTTTGGGCTGTCACGTCCATTCACTATTTGTGCATGAAATTTCCAATCGAACATGGGATTGCTACGGTCCGAGGCGATCAGATGGGCTCTAGGGCATGCTACCTAAACTCGCTGCGAAAGTTCGAGCCCCGAACTATTAATGTAATTCTAACTGAGGTACTCGCTGAAGTCGATACGGACGTGAAAATGCTCGACGCCTCTGAACAAGGGCAGACCTCTGAACAAGAGGGAGACGTCGACATGGAAGAGGCCCCTAAACAAGGACACCCTCTTGATGAGTTAGACCCCCGAATAATTGACTTTGAATCAAATGCAACCCCAATGGAAGAATTGGATACTTTTCCCGTCAACCCGGAAGACCCCAGTCAGGTCTTGCGTATAGGGAAGGCATTGTCACCTGAAGTAAAAGCCGAGATGATACGCTTCCTGAAAAGGAACCTGGATGTCTTCGCATGGAAACATGAAGATATGGTGGGAATAGATCCTAGGATCAGTTGCCATCACCTTAACATCAACCCCTCCTATGCCCCTCATAGACAGAAGAGGCGTGCCCTCAATCCGAAACGGTACGAGGCACTGAAAGACAAAGTAAAAAAACTTAGCCGCAGTAATTTCATAAGAGAGGACATCTATCCAAGGTGGATATCCAACCCGGTTCTGGTGAAAAAGCTCAGAGGAAAGTGGAGGGTATGCGTGGACTTCACAAACCTAAATAAGACATGCCCCAAAGATAGCTTCCCACTTCCAAGAATAGATCAACTTGTGGACTCTACCGCTGGGCATGAACTACTGAGTTTCATGGATGCATACTCAGGGTATAACCAGATCACCATGTTCCAACCTGATGAGGAAGCTACATCGTTCATTACAGACAGGGGTCTGTATTGCTACAAAGTCATACCCTTCGGATTGAAAAACGTCGGAGCTACATACCAGAGGTTAGTCAACATGATGTTCGTCGAACTCATTGGCAAAACCATGGAGGTCTACATAGACGACATGTTGGTCAAAAGCCTCCAGGCAACCGAACACGTGAGTCACCTCGACCAAACTTTTCAGATACTTAGAAAGTATAATATGAAGTTGAATCCCCTTAAGTGCACCTTTGGAGTGGCATCGGGCCAGTTCTTGGGGTATATTGTAAATCAGAGAGAAATTGAGGCAAATCTATTGAAAGTAACGGCCTTATTAGAAATGAGGTCACCTCAGAAACTGAAAGAGGTCCAAAGTCTCAACGGGTGGATAGCCGCACTCAGTCGCTTCATCTCCAGAGCCACAGATAAAAGCTTGCCTTTCTTCAATGTGCTGAAGCAAGGAAAGAAATTCCAATGGACTTCGGAGTGTGAAAAAGCCTTCGAGGCTCTGAAAAAGCACCTTGGAGAGGCGCCTCTCTTGTCGAAACCTCAACCAGATGAATCTCTACTACTGTATCTAGCGGTTTCGGACGTGGCGGTCAGCGCAGTCCTAATCAGGGAAGAAAATGAGCGTCAATTGTCAGTGTACTACATCAGCAAAGCACTCCTCCTAGTTGAAACACGCTACCCAGACATGGAAAAATTGGCACTCGCCCTTATCACAACCTCAAGAAAGTTGAGGCCATACTTCCAAGCCCACTCAATACAAGTTCTCACCAATTTCCCTCTAAAGCAGGTAATGCAGAAAACAGATGCATCAGGACGCCTGCTAAAATGGGCAATCGAACTCAGTGTGTTCGATCTAACGTTCCGACCTTGACACGCCATCAAGGGCCAGACCCTTGCTGATTTTGTGGTTGAATTTGCCAAAACTCTAGAAATGGAGGCGATAATGGAACCAGCCGAGCCCCCCACATGGAAACTGTTCGTAGATGGGTCCTCAGGAGAGGCTAGCGTGGGGGCAGGGCTTGTATTGGAGAGCTCGGAAGGCCACAAGTTAAATTGTGCGGTAAGGTTCGGCTTCAAAGCCTCAAATAATGCCGCCGAATACGAGGCCCTTCTGGCAGGTCTTAGACTCGCTAAGGAGATGCAGGTCAGGAAGCTCCTGGCAAGCAGTGACTCTCAGCTCATAGTAAATCAGGTCAATGGAAACTTCGTAGCCAAAGATGGTAACATGATTGCGTACTTGAAGTTGGTTCTAGACATAATTCCTCATTTTGAAAGGTTCGAACTGACTCAAGTCGCCCGTCTAGAGAATGCACACGCAGACGCCCTCTCAAAATTAGCCAGTAGCATGGACTCAGAGATGCTAAACATCGTCCCTATTGAGCACTTATCAAAGCCCTCCACCTCCGAAGGTAAAGAGATACTGTGGATAGAAGGCACCCCATTATGGATGAAGCCCATCATCGCGTACCTGAAAGAGTAAACACTGCCTGCTTCCAGAGGCGAGGCGAGAAAATTAAGAAGAAGGGCTGCACACTTTGTCCTGCAAAAAGATACCCTTTACAAGAGAGGCTTCTCCTCGCCTCTTTTTCGATGCGTAGGAGGCGAGAGGCCACATACATACTCAGGGAAATCCATGAAGGAATCTGTGAATATCACTCCGGAGGAATGGCTCTGGCACACAAGGTTTTCCATCAAGGCTACTTCTGTCCGACCCTAAAAAGGGATGCTTGCCAATTTGTCCAGAAATGTGACAAGTGCCAGTGCTTCTCGAACATACAAAGACAGCCCGCTCAGAGCCTCTCCGTAATAACCAGCCCTTGGCCGTTTGCCAAGTGGGGCATTGACTTCATTGGTCCACTCCCAAAAGGGAGAGGAAGTGTAACTTTCGCTATTGTTGCCATTGACTACTTCACTAAGTGGGTCGAGGCTGAACCCCTTGCCAGAATTATCGAGGCTAATACTACCAAGTTCGTTTGGAAAAACATCATTTGTAGATTCGGCATTCCCCACTCCTTAGTGTCTGATAACGGAAGGCAGTTCGACAACAGGAAGATGCGAGACTTATACGACGAACTGGGTATAAAGAAGGACTTCTCTCCACCTCATCATCCCCAAGCAAATGGGCAAGTTGAAGCAGTGAACAAGACTATCAAACACACCCTGAAAAGAAAACTTGATACCTCAAAGGGGGCCTGGGTTGACGAACTCCCCCACATCCTCTGGGCTATCAGGACTTCTTACTGGACTGCAACCGGTGAAACCCCATTTTCGATGACCTACGGAGCCGAGGCCATGAGTCCGGTCGAGGTTGAGGTCCCATCATATCAACGGATACACTTTAATAAGATCAGCAACGACGAGGCTCGAATAAGCGAACTACACCTCTTTAAGAAAAAGAGAGATACCTCCCAAGTGATCTTGGCAAAATATCATCGAAAGATAACCTGCTATTACAACTCCAAGGTCAGAAATAGAACTCTTTGCTTGGGCGACGTCGTCCTCAGAAGAGTTTTCCAATCTTCAAAACCAATCGGGTCAGGAGTGTTTGGCCTAAACTGGGAAGGCCCTTACCGCATCCGCTGGGAATCCCGACTTGGTACCTTCGAAATCGAAAATATGTCAGGAAAGGCACTGCCTCATTAGTGGAACATCGAACACTTGAGGAAGTACTATAAATAATGAGACTTTGTTCTGATCCGATCTCAGTATGTTATAATGAATCGATTGTTCTAATTTGATCTCAGTCGTAAAATTTCCTAAGTGCTGGAATTGCTTTTGTAAAGGGTGATGTAATTTATCTATGTAATGAATCTTCGGTTCCGAGCCACATCAGTTAGTAAATAGTTTCCTCAGTCTTTCAGAAGGTTCATTTAAGCAATCCGATTGTCAATTATTAGCTGATTAACGTTAAGAGGCTCTTCATGTTTGCTTAAGTGGTCCGATCTCAGATTATTAACAGGTTGGCATTAAGAGTCTCTTCATACTCACTTAAGTGTCTAAACTTAATATAATTTGAGTGGTCCGATCGACAGTTATTAACTAGTTATTGTCCCGAGGCAATTAGTCTGACGTTTATCATTCATAGAAGTATAAACAGATAGAAAATACAAAAAAGCAGAAGCCTAAATACTTAGCAAAAATTTCATTTCATTGAATAAGTTTAAGTACAAGGAGGTCGAAGCCATTACAAAAAGTAACCCTACTCCGCTGGAGGGACTTCTACATTGGCAGCCTCCTGGGCCTCCGGAGCCCCCTTGACGAGCCTATCAGGCCGACCTCTAGTTGGCCCCCAGAACTCTGCCTCCAATGAAGAGATGTCCAGAGTGGGGTGCACCTCCTCCAGTCGACCCAATAAGCTTTGGGCACTCCATGAGGCCTAGAAGTTGGCGAAGTCGTCATACAGGGGATGGTCTTCAAAGTGATCTATGAAGTTCTAGACTGCCACCTCCCCCGCAGACTTCAACTCCTCATTCAAAGAGGCAATCTACTGAGCCTCTGCCTTCTCTTTGTTGGAGGCCTCCAGAGCCTCGGTGGCGAGCTTGTGGTACTCATTGGCGTGATCAAGCCGTTGAGTCACAGCAGCCACTTGGCACTCCACCTCGTACAACTCCTTCTTCAGTCGTTCTACCTCTGCTTTGGCGACAGTTAGCTGGGCCTCAGCCTTCTTCTTCGCCTCCTCCGCCTGCATGGCTTTGGCCTGGGCCGCTCGCACGGTATCCCCATAATGCATCGCCTCTTCGAGGCGCTTGGCAAGGTCCTCCCTCTTAGAGTTCAGATCCTTCACCAAGCCCTCAAGCTGGATGCTTGTACTCAGAGCCTGAGCCACGCAGGCGCTGTTCGCGGCCACCAAATCCTCAGCCGTGCAGGAGGCGGTGTGGTCCCTCCACTCCTCTGTCCAGTATTTATTGTGGACCACCGCTACCATAGCCGTTTTTGGAGGAAGAGCCTCCAACACTTCCCTTACGGGCTCTTCAGGGTTGGTGCCCAAAAAGTCGACCTCCTTAGAGGGACGGGGCCTCTTTCTCTTCTGCTGCCCCGGCACTTGATCAATTGGCACTGCAGTGAGGGAGGTTGTGGCCGGGGCAGTGGCAAGCTCAGTTGGGGCAAGCCTTTTCTCCGGAATGGCCACCCCGGTGGGAATTGTGGTCTGCCTCAGAGCTGGGGGTGGCCTCGCCACAGTTGGACGTTTTGGAGGGGTGGCACTCTTCTTGCCCTTCCTTCGAAGGTCAGCCTCCGGGTCCTCCGGTACCTCCTCCTCCGTCGGAGGCTGAAGCCTTTTGCTGGCTTCCACCAAATCCTCCGTCTGCTTTTTGTACGAGGAGGAAGAGGCCTTCAACGCCCGTGCCTCTGCCATCATCTTCTGGATGGTCTTGAAGTCGGGGCCCACCAACATCTTCTTGTTAAAGTTGTCTGCAAAGAGTGAATAAGGAATTAATACAAGTCTTAAGAGTTCGGAATAAAAAGCAAAGACTCCGGTCCAGTTACCTTGGGATGCCATCAGATCGTGAGTAATGAAGTGGATGTTCTTTCGGATCAGCCTATGGTAAGACCTCTTCTTTTGAGGTAGCTGATAAATGACACAGATGGTGTCAAAGTCCTCGGTTGACAGCTCGCACCGAGGAAGAGCACCTACAAAGGAAATGTAACTGTTAGGCACCATTCGAACCGAAGAGAAATATAAGAAAAAACTACTACTATACTCACTAAGTGTTGAATACTTCGTCGGGACCGTAAGAGGCGCCAGGGGGTCCCCTTCCATCGTGTACCATCGCCCTGCGGTCCAACACCACGAGTTCTTCCATTCTTTGATGGAGCTCGGCAGATCGACCACGAATGGAGTGTGGGAACCCCATGAAGTAAGGTAATACCATCCCCGGGTCTTATCCCCCACCCAGGCAGTAACCTTAGGTATATATAGGGTCTGAAAAATGGAGAGAGACATCTCCACCCCTAATGACGCCTCTTTCCACAACATCCAGGAGCCCACCATTTGGCTCCAGGAGTTCGGATTGAGTTGCGTCGGGGCTAGCCCATAGAACCTAAGCACCATCCTAAAGAATGGGTGAACGGGCAGCCTAAGTCCGGCCTTAAGTATCGCCTCACTGATGGCCACACAGCCCGGCCTAGGGTAGCAAGCTCTCTCTTCCGGCCCAGGGAGAATCAAATCTATGCTATCAAGGATCTTATACTCTGTCTTAAGTCTCCCCAGGTCGGTCTCTCTTAATTTGGATGGGTAATCCAATGCCCCTAATGCACAGAAGTATCTGCTGGGCTATCCGGTCGCTTCCATATATTTTTCCCCTATTATTGCCTCGGTTATTTTTGAGGAGATCGCCACAAGGGGATCGTCCATCCTCACTAGTTCTAAACCCCTCCCCGAACTAGAACTTCCCTCTGAGGCCATCCTTCCAGAATTTAAAAGCCCAAATAGGTACTGAAACTTACGAGTTTGGAGGTTTTCCTAGCCGAAAATGGTGTAGGGTCGTTGAAAGTTCTGTTTTCTCGTCGGAGTTGCTTAGAAAATGCCGGAAATCGCCAATTACGTGAGAGCAAAGTGAATTGTTTGTTTCGCAAAGGTAGAAAGCTTGAGAAAACCTCAGAGTCCTCCTTTTATAGAAAGACAAATCTGATCTCCACCGTCGAATTCAAATGCGATCAATCTAGGTCATTCATCGCATCTTCAATCTAGGCCGTTGAAATGAAACGCCAGATTTGATCTACGCCCAGGATGTCGCTGTGACTTTCATGCTTGCTTAAAATGCGTCATCTCAGTTACAACCAGCCGTCTATAATAATTAGTAACCGTAGCAGCCTTTTAGGAGAATGGGCATGGCACCCAACTGTCACCTTGAAAACACGCAACAGTTGTCAAATCATTTGATGTTTGAATCGCCTCAGATCGAGTTCCTCACTCAACTTTACAAAGCTTGGACACACCTGACGCGAAGGCCCCTTTGGGTCATCGCCTCAGACGCTGCGTTCCCTCCCATGCTTTACAAAGTTTTGGCCATCTCCCAACGCGTCGGCCCTGTAGGTCAGCGCACTGGTGGCAGATAAGCTCCTCACTCAACTTTACAAAGCTTGGACACACCCGACGTGAAGGCCCCTTGGGGTCATCGCCTCGGACGTTGCGTTCCCTCCCATGCTTTACAAAGTTTTGGCCATCTCCCAACGCGTCGGCCCTGTGGGTCAGCGCACCGGTGGCAGATGAGCTCCTCAGTCAACTTTACAAAGCTTGGATGCACCCGACGCGAAGGCCCCTTTAGGTCATCGCCTCGGACGCTGCGTTCCCTCCCATGCTTTACAAAGTTTTGGCCATCTCCCAGCGCGTCGGCCCTGTGGGTCAGCGTACCGGTGGCAGATGAGCTCCTCACTCAACTTTACAAAGCTTGGACGCACTCGACGCGAAGGCCCCTTTGGGTCATCGCCTCGGACGCTGCATTCCCTCCCATGCTTTACAGAGTTTTAGCCATCTCCCAACGCATCGGCCTGAGTCAGCACACCATATTCACGAAGCTTCGACGCACCTGACACGAAGTCCCATGTTGGTTGACCACCTCGGACGCTACTCAGTCACGAAATTTGGCACGTCTGCCTAGGATCATAACCTCGATTGCTGTAAAAATCAACCCCCAAAACTCCGACGAGTCGTAGTCCGGTCAGGAAAACAAGTCCACTCATGATATAAATAATCATATCTGGACTTGGGGAAACACTGTTACGCTCCAATCTTATATGCGCCTTGGAACGAGCACCACCATAAATTCCGACCTGATATAGACCCATTCGAAGTGTTTCCGAAGTGATATCAGAACGAGCACCACCATGTATTCCGACCTGATATAGACCCCGTCCGAAGTGTTTCTGAAGTGACATCGGCATTACATGCAACCTCATAGCGCGCTGCGAAGTACAAGCTACTCCTACTACTAACCTAGCTGAAGTACCTCGCCCTACCCGAGGACATGTCAGGTGGACCCGGTTAAAAGATCCGCTGCCAATTTCAGAAAGAGATTTGTGCCAAGATCCTTCTTGCACCTAAGGTTTAAATTGATTTGACGTCTCCAGGAGGCTAGTTGATGTGACTTACCAACTTTATGTCAATTCAACTCAGAAGAAACAAGCTGTCCACCCACTCTACAGACGCGACTGATTGACGCCTATGAGCGGACGCCGCATATCGTCAGATGTATACACGCATCTCACATCCAACGGTTCATACCACCTATAAATACCTAAGGTTTGGTAAGAGGTAAAGGTAATAAAACTCTTACTACATAGCACTCCATAGCAAGCTTATATATTTTCTCCTCCCCCTTTATCATTGATTTGCACAGCCACTGGGTACTGTTCCGACCACTTAAACCTGACTTGACCGTCGGAGTGTATACGGCCGTCACCACCTCTGCTGGTTCTGGCCGTGTGCGTCTGACTATCTGTTGATTGTGTGCGGAGAGGAATACGTGGAGTAGCTTTCAGTTGGCCACGTGGAAGGACCAATTTTCGAGGTCAACATAGACCTAGTCAAGTAAGAAAATGACATTTTTAATGAAACATGAAAAGTCATTTGTTCTTTTCGACCTTTGAGAAGACATTCTAGAAAATAATTTTCCTTTACTTTTCTTTTATCTATCTATAAAACTAGATATTTAAAAAAAAAAAAAAAAAATTTAAAAAACGCGATTTTTCCCAAGTGCAGGTCAAAATATTGGCATAGTCATCCAATAGTATGATGTCTGTGGCAAAATTTTAGAGAGGAAAGAAAAGTTTATTAAGTACCAATAGACATATCAAATCCGCGATTTTTAAGCTCACGATGCTCTTGGCACAAGGCGCCGTGTGCGTCTGACTATCTGTTGATTGTGTGCGGAGAGGAATACGTGGAGTAGCTTTCAGTTGGCCACGTGGAAGGACCAATTTTCGAGGTCAACATAGACCTAGTCAAGTAAGAAAATGACATTTTTAATGAAACATGAAAAGTCATTTGTTCTTTTCGACCTTTGAGAAGACATTCTAGAAAATAATTTTCCTTTACTTTTCTTTTATCTATCTATAAAACTAGATATTTAAAAAAAAAAAAAAAAAATTAGAAAACGCGATATTTTCCAAGTGCAGGTCAAAATATTGGCATAGTCATCCAATAGTATGATGTCTGTGGCAAAATTTTAGAGAGGAAAGAAAAGTTTATTAAGTACCAATAGACATATCAAATCCGCGATTTTTAAGCTCACGATGCTCTTGGCACAAGGCACAACATTCACAACAAAAATGAACACAACAATCTGCACATGGAGTCTCCGGCAGCATGTATTGCCTTCTCAACTTTGAACGATAGAAGCAAGAATATAAGCACGCACATCCCGTAAGGGCTATAAGAGTGTAAAGTACTCCACCTACTCCACAGGCTGCCACAAAAAAATTCATAAACAATTAAATCGTTTGTTCGCGGTTTTGATTTCTAATTATTTTTTGAATAATGCTGGCTAGAAAATTTTATAATTTTTTATGGGCTTGTTCGGTAATGATTATGAGAATTGATTTTTTAATTGCTATAAAGAAAAATGGATTCACTTGATAGAGAAGAAGTAAAAAAAATGACAATCGACTTAGGAAAGTAACGGTAAAAAAATTAATTTTTTTTGGATGAAAAATCAAAACCGAACGTGCACTATATTTGAAAAGAAAAATATCAACATCATTGGCAATTGAGATCATAGATGAGGGGTTCTGGCATGAAATCATAATCATTTTGTCTATTTACTTACAAGTAGATCCTTTGTCTACAATCTCAGCAATCTGACCGAATGTTATGCACGGACACCAACATGTTATACAACCTGCAAATTCGGTTATTAGACAAACAGGTCCAAAATTACCTAAGAACTTTATAATTTAAGAGCATCTTTAATAGGCTAAATTTGATAGGAGTGAAAACAATTAACAAGAATTGACATCAATAAGAACTCACAGTTTGGAATATCGGAGCAGCAACCACAGAGACCAGTAGACCACTTCCCTGGAGTGCTAACATGAGCTTGAGGTAACGGTGGCGGTGGCGGTGGCGGTGGTGGTGATCGTGGTGGAGGTATTTGGTAATTGTCAAAATAGTTATAGTTAGGAGGTGAAACTGGTATGCCTGTTGGCGGTGGTTGGTCAAAGGCCCACGGGGCACTCGGCGGTGGAGAGTTTCTGGCAGCGTATGGATCTAAGGGATCCATATCGAAATGGGATTAAAACTATTGAAAAAACTGAAATTTTGAGATGATTTATGGCGGGGATTATGTATAGATAGACGTCTAGAGTTTGAAATGTCAAGCAGAACTACGCAGGAGATTTCATTACAGCTTCTAGCTGACTA